GTCACGCGTCTACTAGCCACAGTTGTCACTGACCCGTCGTTTGAGTCTGCTGCTGCGTCTGCTCTTGTCGCTGAGCTTGTTGACTTTGCTGCTGCCTGTCGTCTAGACTTCACTGCCAGTCTTGTTACTGAGTCTGAGTCTGTCTGTCCTCCGTCCGTCGGGGGTGAGTGTGCTCTTAGCACGGACGTCCTTGAGGACAGGCAGGAGGAGTTCCAGTGTCTTGCTGCTTCTTCACCTCATCTTGTGTCCTCGCTACTTGCCCCTGAGGGAGACCCGGATGCACCAGACATCCCGACTCCGCGCTCTTACGCAGAGGCGATAGAGGGTCCCTACTCCTCTCAGTGGCAGGCAGCCATGGACGCAGAGATGGCTTCCTGGAAGTCCACAGGCACCTACGTCGACGAGGTTCCCCCACTTGGGGCGAACATCGTCAGTGGCATGTGGATTTTCAGGGTGAAGCGGCCGCCGGGTTCTCCGCCTGTCTTCAAGGCGCGTTACGTGGCTCGAGGCTTCAGTCAGCGAGAGGGAGTTGACTTCTTCCAGACCTTCTCCCCCACCCCGAAGATGACCACTCTTCGGGTGCTGCTACACGTTGCCGCTCACCGTGACTACGAGCTTCACTCTCTTGACTTCAGCACAGCTTTCTTACAGGGCAGCCTGCACGAGGAGATCTGGCTGCGCCGCCCCCCGGGCTTCACTGGGTCGTTCCCTCCTGGCACCCAGTGGAGCCTCCGGCGGCCGGTCTACGGTCTCCGCCAGGCGCCACGTGAGTGGCACGACACACTGAGGACTACGCTTGCGGCTCTTGGGTTTGCGCCTTCTACTGCTGACCCGTCGCTGTTTCTGCGCACCGACACTTCACTGCCGCCGTTCTACATCCTCATGTACGTCGACGACTTGGTTTTTGCCACTGCTGACACTGAGGCTCTCGCCCACGTGAAGTCGGAGCTGCAGAAGAGACACACGTGCACAGACTTGGGTGAGCTGCGCAGCTACCTTGGCTTGCAGATCACCCGGGACAGAGCACGCCGCACCATCACCTTGACTCAGTCACACATGGTGCAGCAGGTCCTTCAGCGCTTCGGCTTCACCTGGTCTTCAGCACAGGCCACTCCTCTGGCTACAGGTCACACGCTCTCAGCTCCACCTTCGGACGAGTCCGTAGAGCCGAGTGGTCCTTACCCTGAGCTAGTCGGCTGCCTCATGTACCTGATGACTTGCACTCGACCTGACCTCGCGTACCCTCTTGGTCTTCTGGCTCGCTACGTGGCTCCTGGTCGGCACCGACCTGAGCACATGGCTGCTGCTAAGAGGGTACTGCGCTACTTGTGCAGCACATCAGGCATGGGGCTAGTGCTTGGAGGGACGAGCCCAGTTGTCCTCACTGGGCACTCAGACGCTTCTTGGGTTGACGACCTGGCTACTCAGCGGTCGTCACAGGGTTACACCTTCAGCCTTGGCTCTGGTTCAGTTTCGTGGCATTCTACACGCTCGTCTTCAGTTCTCAGCTCCAGTTGTGAGGCTGAGATCTACGCCACAGCCATGGCTGCACAGGAGTTACGCTGGCTCACCTACCTGCTGACTGACTTGGGAGAGCAGCCTCGTTCTCCTCCAGTGCTGTACGTCGACAACAAGGCCGCCATTGCCTTGTGTGAGGAGCACAGACTGGAGCACAGAACGAAGCACATTGCTCTGCATTACTTCCTGGCTCGAGAGTTGCAGCAGCGAGGCCAGCTTCGTCTTCGTCACGTGGCCACTCGGGCCAACACTGCTGATATATTCACCAAGGCACTTCCGTCTGGTGATCATCAGCGCTTTTGTACCCTGTTAGGCCTTGTGCCTACATTTCCACACTTGCTGTAGTCTCTGCTTGTACTGTGATCTATATATACATGCATGCCTGCTCTTGCTAGGTAGTCATCACTGTACTGTTATTGTTGCATATATATCTCTGCATGTGGACTGGCCTTGTGGCCCTTTGCTTGTGCTCAGAATGTGTGGTGACGTTGAGATCCACCCTGAGCTTGCTTTGCTTCTCTTGACTGGTCGTTTGACCCCTTGTTCTCCCCCACTTTGCCTATGGGGGTGTGTCAAACATATATGCTGGATATTGTCTAGGCTGTAGTGGGGTAGCCCATATAGGGTACAACCCAATTAGGGTTTACTACTTGTACTCCTGCATGCTGCTAGTTCATTCATTCCTGCTGCTAGATTCTGACAAGTTTCACCTCTCGGGCCACGTGCAGCGGAAGATTCGCCAGCGTGGCGACAGCGAGATTGTGGAAGGGAGGGAATCTCGATAGATTTGAAGTGAAAGTGCACGCGAAATTTCATTCGGGAAGCCATTTTCGTCATATCCTCCCTTAAAAAATCTGACTCGATAACAGCTATAATAGGGTTTCGTAAGAAAAGGGGGGTGTTATAGAGAATCACCCCAAAAGGGGGGGTATAGTACAAACGAGGTCGGCTATAGCACCCCCCCCGCACAAGCTACCCGGGGGTGTACTATTACGGGGGGGTGTTTTGTCCGGGTGATTACGGTACCATTTCTCATTATTGCATCTCTTTTTGGCTATCTCTCTCGTCATGCTACTCTCTCAAGTCTCCTCCTACCCCAAACCTAATCTACTACTTTGACACGATGTGCCGTCGTGGCCACATCGATCTCGGCTTTGGTAGGATCGAGGGTTTCCCCCCCTTGAAATCTCGATCCTGTCACCTTGGGCTCGAGATCGATCCGCGCCTGTCACCTCCTACCAAACCTGCCCCAATCCTGCGATCGGTGTGCCCGATCGGTTTTTCACGCCGATCTCTCGATCGATCGAGGGAGGGGACGCGCCCTAAGCTGTAGCGTAACGAAGCTTTATGAGCACACGCAACTTTTGCGAAGATATGGGCACTGCTGCACTGCTACCAGTAAAGACATTGCCCTTGGAAATTCCTTGGGCAGCTTGTATTGGTGGTCCCTATCCTTTTTTGGTTGATCCGGGGTAGGGTTTTGCATTTTCGGAGGTAGAGCTTTCGCTTAGCTCACTTCATTTCATTTGGCTCTGATGAAGGGTTGCTTGGGAATAGCAGCCGTAATCTGCTGTAGCCACCGTCTAGAACACGGAACGACTATACGGAACTTTGCGAAAATCAGCTTGTTTTTTGGGTTGCGTAGCAACCTTATACCGTAATCATCCGGACAAAACACCCCCCCGTAATAGTACACCCCCGGGTAGCTTGTGCGGGGGGGGTGCTATAGCCGACCTCGTTTGTACTATACCCCCCCTTTTGGGGTGATTCTCTATAACACCCCCCTTTTCTTACGAAACCCTATTATAGCTGTTATCGAGTCAGATTTTTTACGGGAGGATATGACGAAAATCGCTTCCTGAATGAAATTTCGCGTGCACTTTCACTTCAAATTTACCGAGATTCCCTCCCTTCCACAATCTCGCTGTCGCCACGCTGGCGAATCTTCCGCTGCACGTGGCCCGAGAGGTGAAACTCACATTCTCGCCAAAACGCGAATTCTCGCCTCAACCTGTGATGTTAAAACGACTATTGAAACACCCAAATTGTCTAATTAAACTTTTTTCTTACACTAAAAAGTGCCATATATAACCACCCGGGTATTATATAGGATTTTCCGTTGAGAGCACCCCCCCCCTTTTTCCCTGTGGTTATCATAATACCCCCGGGTGTTATGTCCGGGTGATTACGGTACATTTGGTTTCACTTTTTGGGGAACTGACCGTGAACAGTGATTCTTTCCTTCCCGTTAAGGAAAAAATCACTGTTCAACTATTTATTTTCCCCAAAAATGTGAAACCAAATGTAACCAATAATCGTCGATACGGCGAATGGAACAATTGGTTGGACCAAGCACAAACGACCACCACCCGTAAGCCACACAAACACAAATTTCCACCTAGTGGCACACACACAACACAAATTACCACACACACGAACGTGTAACAGGAGTTGTGAATGCTTTGAAGCTAATGCTAGATGCATCGTGGATGCAACTGCGATTGATCTGGTATGGAAGGGGCAAGCAAAGCAGCCCGCCCCACCAACGATCACAACCACAATTGCATACACGAGGCATTTAACACTCACCCCGAAGCAGGCACAAACACCACTATATAGCGTACATGCACGCACACACACATACAGACTCACACATACCGTACGCAGACAGAAAAGCACGCAGAAACATACCGGCACAGCTTATACTAAGCATGCAAGCATAGCCAATGAAGTTCACCAATTAATAAACCATCGCTACCTTAACCCCCATTCCCCTCCCTCCCCTCCTCCCTGATCTCCCTTACCCCGCTCCCCCCTTCCCTCAACCCCTTATTTTTCTCCACAAGAAACAATGATCGCAGCATGAACTTCCTGCACACGAAAGAAAAAAACAGCAAATGGAGCTGCAATAGTGACACATGCCCTGCACAGAGCAAAGAGAAGTCAACCACACACATGACTTCACAAAACAAAAACAGAAAAATCAACACACACACGCCCTGCACAAAGCAAAATCAGAGAAAGCGAACAACCCACATTGCACAAAAAAAACAGAGAATGTTCACACACTGTGTACAAGAATGCAAAATCCAGATAACACAACTCACCTGCCCCTTTAGGAGGTCAAGCAGGAAATACAAATCACCCTCCCTGCACAAGAAAGCGAAAAACAAGTAGTACACCTCACATGCATTGCACAAGGCGTCAGTGCATAGCAGAAAAGCGTCAGCGCACTCTCACGCGCACTCTCACACACACTCACGCCCCCTTTCACGCGCGCTCTTGCGCGCGCTCACACACACTCTCACGCGCATTGTCACAAGCTCTCTCACGCGCAATTTCATGCGCTCCCTCACGCCCTCTCACACGCTCTCTCACGCTCTCTCTCACGCGCAATCTCGCGCGCACTCTTACCCGCACTCTCATGCGCTCTCTGACGCGCTCTCACATGCCCTCTCACGCGACCTCTCACACACACTCTCATGCGCACTCTCACGCGCACTCACGCGCACTCTCACGCTCGCACTCTTACGCGCTCTCTCACGCGCACTGTCACAAGCTCTCTCGCGCGCACTTTCATGCGCTCTCTCACACGCACTCTCACACGCACTCTCACGCGCACTCTCACGTGCTCTCACATGCCCTCTCACGCGGCCTCTCACGTCGCCTCTCACGCGCACTCTCACGCGCTCTCTCACGCGCTCTCTCACGCGCGCTCTCGCGCGCACTCTCACCCGCTCACTCACGCTCTCTCTCACATGCCCTCTCACGCGGCCTCTCACGCGCACCCTCATGCACACTCTTACGCGCTCTCTCACGCGCACTTTCACGCGCACTCTCACGGGCACTCTCACGGGCACTCTCACGCGCGCACTCTCATGCGCTCTCTCACGCTCTCTCTCACGCGCTCTCTCACGCGCACTCTCACGCGCACTCTCACGCGCACTCTCACGCGCACTCTCACGCGCACTCTCACGCGCACTCTCACGCGCACTCTCACGCGCTCTCTCACGCGCTCTCTCACGCGCTCTCTCACGCGCTCTCTCACGCGCTCTCTCACGCGCTCTCTCACGCGCTCTCTCACGCGCTCTCTCCTGCGCTCTCTCCTGCGCTCTCTCCTGCGCTCTCGCTCCCGCTCTCCCTCGCGCTCCGTCTCTCCCCTTCTTCAAATGAAAGTGCAATGCAAGAAAAAACCAATCGACACCCAAAAAATAACTAAGTGAGCAGAAAATAAAGGGAATTTTCAGCGGAGGGAGCGAGGATCAAAGGACCGGGAACGCACCTGATAACCACGGCGTCTCAGAAAACGACACGCGCTGGCGAACCAACCCTCGCTCGTGCACCAACTCGCTCTCGCGCTCCAACTCGCGCTTGCGCTCCGGGCACCTGTCGCCGGAGGCGGGGAGGAGGGGGAGGCGACGGCGGGGAGGAGGGAGAGGCGACGGCGGGGAGGAGGGAGAGGCGACGGCGGGGAGGAGGGGGGGGCGACGGCGGGGAGGAGGGAGAGGCGACGGCGGGGAGGAGGGAGAGGCGACGGCGGGGAGGAGCGCGAGGCGACGGCGGGGAGGAGCGCGAGGCGACGGCGGGGAGGAGGGCGAGGCGACGGCGGGGAGGAGGGCGAGGCGACGGCGGGGAGGAGGGCGAGGCGACGGCGGGGAGGAGGGCGAGGCGACGGCGGGGAGGAGGGAGAGGCGACGGCGGGGAGGAGGCGAGGCGACGGCGGGGAGGAGGGCGAGGCGATGGCGGAATTGGAGGGAGAGGCGACCGTGGGGTGGGAGGGAGAGGCGGCTACGGGATGGGAGGGAGAGGCGGCTACGGGATGGGAGGGAGAGGCGACTACGGGTTGGGAGGAAAACGCAAGAAGAGTCCCTGAAGTACAGTAGGAGCAACTCCCACTTGAGAGTTGGAAATCGGAAGAACGAACAAGGCGAGGCAGAGGGGTGTTGTTCTGTGGGTGTGAACAAAACTTTTGCTGGGGCAGAGCGAGGCACCAAAAACTATACAGTACCTCAGAACAACAGCACAATCGTGTGAATTTCTTAACAGGAAACAACGCTCGGGCAATTTTCATCCAGCAAAAACGAAAAGAAAAAAAGCAGAACCTTCAGTTTGGAAGGTAGTGTCACGTGACAACATCTGGTAAATCAATCGCCTGCTGACACACAAGCAGAACAAGTCATCGATCGTGAAATTAAGGTCGTGTCCGTAGGGATGACATGTCAAAGCTTGCAGTGTCAATTTGGCATTTTGACACTCAGCCAACATTGTTGGCAGGGTGTCAAGAAATTGCATGTTGCCATCCAATACAAATCGTCGGACACTTTCTAAATTGGCACAGTCAAACCTACAAACGAGAGAAGATGGTCGCAGGTGCCTATCTCACGACCAGATGCTGCCCAATCAGCACACAATCTGTCTTTTGAATTGTTCGCTACCTGGCAGATCCACCCATGACAAATTCTCAAACCAATGAAATTCCGTCGCTGATGTTCGTACATGCGCTTCGACTTGACACTTCAGCTACAATGTTTGACACGCTAATTTGAATGCGCTTCGGGTTGACACGCCTTCACTTGACATGTCAAGCCTACGGACACGAACTAAACCCACAAAAAACACCTGAACATTTCTGTTTAGATGCATTCTCCATACAACTCTCTTTTACAAACAATAGGAATTTACTTTCTACGCAACCCTTCCGACGTTAACGTCGAGTCTTGTTGGCATATTTTTTTCCCTGCTCTCTGGAGACAACAGACATCCTACAGCTTATCCCCCAGCATATGCTGTACAGGTAATGCTCACCTCCTGCACGCGAAATTGCCCTGCACCTATTAGATGCCCTGCCCGCGTTGACGACGTGCTCTAGAGGTTGCACCCCAGGTATAAGCCCCCCAACCAACTTGCCGCAAGTTTCGTAAACTCCAAAACACCTGAACAGTAGCATAAACAGACCCAGTCAACCAGAGTCTGCCGTGTTCCTTGGCCAGAGACAAACATCGCGAAATGACAGGCTCAAACTCCGCCAACGTCGCAATTCACTTCGCGCATGACTGGGTGCCACGTGGGGAGGTTCATGGTGCGTATAACACATCTTAGGAGAGGTGCATTGATGTGACGTGTACCATGCACCTGCTCGGTATAAACCCAATGACGACCAAGCGTTGTTCAAAACGCACACGTCACAAATAGTGGTTGTGGTAACACCCCCCCCCCCCCCTTTTGCCACAAATCAAGGCCCCCTACATGCAAACTTCCTAACAATGGGTCAACCAAATTCCCGTTGCAAACGCACCGTCGTACCCACGCTCCAGCACACCGCAACCATAGCTTTCTCCCACAACATTCATTCACTCCCGCATGCTATTCCAGCATGCCTCGCCTCTACCACCGCAGCCAGTTAGCTGTGCACATCAAGCGGGCGATATTCGCCCACCATGTCGCCAATCCGCAGCTGCGCCACGTCGACCTCAGCCGCAGGTGCTTCACCCGCTTCGGCATCAGGCCTGATCGCAGCACGATTGGCCGCGTGCTGAAGGCGTCCGAGCGTTGGGCACGCCCTGCATCGGACAACAACCTGTCAGAATCACTAGGCAAGAATGAATGAACTAGCAGAAGTTTGGGTACAAATATGAAACCCTAGTTGGGGTTGTACCCCATATTGGCTACCCCACTACAGCCTACAAGCATAATACAGTTTAACACACCCCCATAGGCAAAGTGGGGGAGAACAAAGGGTCACAAGACCAGTCCAGCAAAGCAAAGCAAAGCCCAGGGTGGATCACAACGTCACCACACTCCGAGCACAAGTAAAGGCCACAAGGCCAGTTCACATGCAGTGCTAGATATAGTACAAGACAAGCAACACAGTGATCAAAGCCTAGCAAGCAAGCAACAAGATATATATAAAGTACAGTACAAAGAATGTCAAGCAGTGAGCAAGTGAGGAAACGTGGACACAAGGCCTAAAGAAGTACAGTGCCACTGATGATCACTAGGCGGGAGCGCCTTGGTGAAGATATCAGCAGTGTTGGCCTTCGAGTCCACGTACACAAGCCGAAGCTGACCTCGCTGCTGCAGCTCTCGAGCAAGAAAGTAGCGAAGAGCAATGTGCTTCGTCCTGTGCTCCAGTCTGTGCTCCTGACACAAGGCAAGAGCCGCCTTGTTGTCACCGTACAGAACTGGAGGAGAACTAGGCCGCTCTCCCAAGTCAGTCAGCAGGTAGGTGAGCCAGCGTAACTCCTGTGCAGCCATGGCTGTGGCGTAGATCTCAGCCTCACAACTAGAGCCGAGAACAGAGGAAGAGCGGGTGGACCGCCACGAGACAGAACCAGAGCCAAGGCTGAAGGTGTAACCCTGTGACGACCGCTGCGTAGCCAGGTCGTCCACCCAAGAAGCGTCCGAGTGACCAGTGAGGACAACTCTGTCGCGTCCTCCAAGCACCAGCCCCATGCCTGATGTACTGCACAAGTAACGCAGCACCCTCTTAGCAGCCTCCCAGTGCTCTCGCCTGTGTCTCCCAGGCGCAACGTAACGAGCAAGGATGCTAAGAGGGTACGCGAGGTCAGGTCGCGTGCAAGTCATCAGGTACATGAGGCAGCCTACAAGCTCTGGGTACGGGCCACTCGGCTCTACGGACTCGTCCAAAGGTGGAGCTGAGAGCGAGTGGCTGGTAGCCAGAGGTGTGGCCTGTGGTGAGGAGAACTGGAAGCCGAAGCGCTGAAGGACCTGCTGCACCATGTGTGACTGAGTCAGGGTGATGGTGCGGCGAGCTCTGTCCCGGGTGATCTGCAAGCCAAGGTAGCTACGCAGTTCACCCAGGTCAGTGCAGGTGTGTCTCTTCTGCAGCTCCGACTTCACACGAGCGAGTGCCTCAGTGTCAGCAGTAGCAAAGACCAAGTCGTCGACGTACACTAGAATGTAGAACGGCGGCAGCGACGTGTCTGTGCGTAGAAACAGCGACGGGTCAGCAGTAGACGGCGCGAACCCAAGAGCCGCAAGTGTAGTCCTCAGTGTGTCGTGCCACTCACGTGGCGCCTGGCGGAGACCGTAGACTGGCCGGCGGAGACTCCACTGGGTACCAGGGGGAAACGACCCAGTAAAGCCAGGTGGGCGGCGCAGCCAGATCTCCTCGTGCAGGCTGCCTTGCAGGAACGCTGTGCTGAAGTCAAGAGAGTGAAGCTCGTAGTCACGCTGAGCAGCAACGTGCAGCAGAACCCGAAGAGTGGTCATCTTCGGGGTGGGGGAGAAGGTCTGGAAGAAGTCGACCCCCTGACGCTGACTGAAGCCTCTAGCAACGTAACGAGCCTTGAAGACAGGCGGAGAACCTGGCGGCCGCTTCACCCTGAAAATCCACATGCCATCGACGATGTTCGCCCCAGGAGGGGGAACCTCGTCGACGTAGGTGCCTGTGGACTTCCAGGATGCCATCTCTGCGTCCATGGCTGTCTGCCACTGAGAGGAGTAGGACCCGAGATCGCCTCTGCGTAAGTGCGCGGAGTGGGGATGTCTAGTGCATCCGGGTCTCCCTCAGGGGCAAGCAACCAGGCCACGAGATGAGGTACAGCAGCCGCAAGAGAGTCAAAGTCCTCCTGCCTGTCCTCAAGGACGTCCGTGCCAAGAGCACACTCACCCCCGACGGACGGAGGACAGACAGACTCAGACTCAGACTCAGCGACAAGGCTAGCAGCGTAGTCTAGACGACACCGGGCAGCAAAGTCAACCAGCTCAGCGACCAGCGCAGACGCAGCAGAGGACTCAAAGGTAGGGTCAGTGACAACAGTAGCGAGGAGACGCGTGACTGTAGGGTGCTCAGCGCGATACCGGTCAGACTCAGGGTCCGGAACGGCAGGCAAAGAGGACGCAGGAGGAGACGGTAGAAGGACACGCCGAGGAGCAGTAGAGGGACGCAGAGTCATGTAGTGAGTGCCTGGGACAGGAGGAGGACGCTCACGACGGACACGACTACCAGTGCGAGCAGGACGAACAGGCGACGCAGGACGAGACTCAGGCTCACGACGCTCTGTAAGACCTCCTGTGGGACCAGCGTAAGGAGAGGGAGCAGGGAGAGGCGAGGTAGGCGGTAACTGTGACTGCGGCTGGACAGTCGGAGGACACTCTACGGAGGGAGGAGGACAAGGAGGAGGAGCCTGCCCAAGAACCTGCTGAAGGAGCGGTACGAAGTACGGTCGCGGCCGCGCAGCGTCTCCAGAAGCAGAAGAGA